AGCACGAAAATGGACTAGGTGAAACAACAGAAGAAAGTATTATCCGCGAAGAATCAGTGTGTTGATAACCATCGTTCCAGGTGTAAGAAAAGATAACTTTCTCATATTACGCACTTGTGTATGGGCGCCGAGGTTCGTGCGGTGCCTCTATCAGGTTGTTTTTCTCCGCGCCTCTCTGGTCACGTGATGAGCGCGTTTAAACTGCGCGTTAAGCGATCTTGGAGAGCAACACGTGATATTTTTAACATGTTTTAGAATCCCGGGATGCTTGATCTCGAAGCCTTAAAAGCACCCCTTTTTGACGCCGCTGAAATGCCAGAATAGGATGATAATCTATCGGGGTGCGTGAAAAGCGGGAATGATTTATGTGTCTTGGGACCTTAGGAGGGGTCTAGCTTCGTATGGAATGTTCCGTGGCTAGCCCCACAACAAAATCCGCTGGCAGCAGTGTGTTTGTGGGTCTCCGCTCTATTAAACTTAAGTGTTCCATTGTGTCGTGTTAACGTAATTGCCAGGAATGAAACGAACAAGCATAAAAAAGCAAATACAATGAATGCGCCAGAAGGAGTAGTGTGGCTGGGATGATCTGGTCAAAGCACTGGGAAGTTGGCGACCGTTGCTGTTTTCGGTGCGAACGAATGGTCGGCAGTGAGTGAGTTTTGTTTGCATCGTGGATGTCCACAGCTGGGAGATTCTGGCTTGCTACGAAGCTGCTGAGTGATGCGCATATCCCGCGAGCACAAAATAAAATTTTATGATATATAATGTCATGCCTCTGATGCCCGAGGAATTGAGAAAAGTAAGGTTGGGCAGAGTTATGTTCTTAGTAACCTGTCGCATGAGCAGTACGAACAACATCCTGCCCAATACCTGTTGAAGAAACAACGTGCCTCGTTTTTTTTCTCTTTTTTTCATTTTCCTGACTCTAAAGATGCGCAAATACTTGCAATTTCTTGAAGTGTTATAATGCCAAAGTCCCCGTTTCGCGCTTGTTATTGATATCTGATATGGTTTAGTTCATATAGCAGGTTTCATTCAATGGGTGCTAGAAAGAGAGATAAAAAATATTGCATAAAGGGTTGTGAGTGAAGGTGGGAGTGTCCCTTATTTCTATAACCCTATGACCTGAACCACCTGTCATGCTCGAGCGACTAGATAATATTTTGTTGCATTACTGTTGAGATGTGTTGCTCTTACTAGACCGGTGCTGCAAAATACAATCAGTGCTGCTATGCTTGAGCACACGGGTTTGATTCCTATGCTTAGAAGGCAGCAATATGAGAGTGCGGTAAAGCAAACGGGCTTTTTGAAAAATTTAGGCGCATCTAGAAGAACCCCAGTGGGCAAAAAAATTGACCCAGATCCTTCGAACGGAGAGCACCTCAAATTCATCTAGTGTTTTTGACAATCAAAGACGACAAAAGCTGTATTAGACCTCGTTCCAGGTGCTTTTCGATATTTGAACAAACCGGACATCAGAGTATGATGTAACGAGAAGCTAGCAGCTCGTATGAATGAATATATTGTAATTATTAACAAAAGACTGCGTTTTACGCTGATGAGATGATCTTTTATGAAAAGAAATAGTGAATGCACCTACACAGTAGCTAGAATTCTGTACACGAAGGCGAAGTTTGGTGGGTGAGTGTGTGCCGCCACTTGTGAGGCAAGACTAGACAAAACTGTAGACGTGTTTTTTTTTCTACTAATTAACGAATTCCTTCTCAGAATGATCCTCGCGAGAAAGAAGCCACGCGTGCGAGTGAGGAAGTTAGAAAAAGGGAAGATATATTATGTAGGTAATAGGACAGAGAATGCGGTGTAAAACACCATTGAAGTTGAAGAACCCGTTCACAGTCTTATAAACGTATCATTCATAGGAAACCTTTATGTTGAACACTACTCTTGTAAACACTGCTATAAAGTCTGAAGCTGTTAGTTGGCCTAGGAACAGGGCGAGCACATGTACAAAAGAAATGGGAAGTTCACATGAAATAACAAAGCGTATATGTGTACATGGGCAGAATGCCAGCTCAGGATAGAACAAAACAGAAGAAAACTGGGAAATTTTCATTACGTTGCTGCTCTGAAGCGGTCTAGGGATATTTAGCTGCACTATGAAAAAGTTAAATATGCATGCTGGCAGATTTGACTTCTGGTTGGCAAGGAAGCTCACTGAGAAAGCTTGCCAACAAGCTTTCCAGTGCACTGCCAACTTCGCAAGCAATACGACGAACATTTCACTGGGAGTTTGCGTCAAGGAATAGTTACAGCATAACAATTTGTTGTTGAATAGTGCCCTAGGTAGCGTTCGGCAAACTAGTTGCGCCTGTCTCAACAGTGACGTGGGAATGTTTACTGTCGTAAACTTACATCTGTACACAATTAATAATTGATCCATACTAATAATTGATCCTAAGCAGCACTCAACAAAAACAAATAAACAAAGAAACATATAAAAAGCAGCTCTCACTCTAGAATAGCGGATTATGGCTTGCTGCCAGAGAGTTATATTTCTGTACTTGCTATCATGCGTATACATCACCTTAAATCTATATAAAATTTTTTATGCATTTTCTTTTCCTTAAACATAGTTCTCTTTTACGTTGTGATTTCTTATATAAAGTCGTTATTTTGCTTTTATACTGTCTCCCGTTAGACACCCTACTTGCCTACGACTATGGGTATTATCAGCGTTGTGAGTTTACGTGAACTCCATCAAAAACGACCTCAATACAGTCTTCATGTCTTCAATCTCGCTTTAAGCCGGCCCCCTTAGCGATGGCTACAAGACACAAACAAAGAGTGATTGCCGCTCAAACATGGTTCCACTCTAGTTTACTCCAATAATGAGCAGACCACGCGATTGTACCGTAGGAAACATTCTGCACTAATGAAACACCAAACGCTGTGCGGTTTGGAGACTTGCCGGTTTCGAAACAACGTTGTGTTCGCAGTCAATGAAAGCCCCGTCGTGGAGGTCTAGTGGCTAAGGTACTCGGCTGCTGATCCGCAGGTCGCGGGATTGAATCCCGGCTGCGGCGGTTACATTTCCGATGGAGGCGGAAATGTTGTAGGCTCGTGTGGTCAGATTTGGGTGCAGGTTAAAGAACCTTAGGTGGTCGACATTTCCAGAGCCCTCCACTCTACGGCTTCTCTCATAATCAGCTGATTGAGTCTTTCCTTTTCCTTTACTTCATTTCCATAACAATATTGTGATTTAATCAATCAACAGTCATGGAAGGAGATCTTGGGGCAGACCTTGAAGTTGGCTTTGCTTGCAACCATCTACTCCTCGGAGCCGTTGCACTGCGGTTAAACACCCAAAACAAACTCGGCCCCTCAGACAGCGCTGAAAATTTCAGGAGCAATACTTGCATTTCTGCAACGGAACACAGAAATAGCATTGAGTGGGCAGATGCTGTATTCCTGTTCACGGCCCCTAAATAAAGAAAGAGGTTGTCGCCTGGTGCTCTTGACAATATCCTCTGGTCTCTAAGTTGAGAAGACAATTTGCTTCGTTGCTCTTGAAGGAAGGTCAAGGAACAAATAAGCTGTCCTCTCCAGTCCTTCTACTGCAATATTCGAAGGTCACATATTTCCAATGGTCCCACTACGCAGTGCACAACGTTTCAACCAACAGTAATAAGAGGCTAGTGAAAAACGGTCCGTAGCTCAGCATAGCTGCATGAATCCAAAGCTCTTAATTTCAGAGATTCCGGCTGCGGCGGCTGCATTTCCGATGGAGGCGGAAATGTTGTAGGCCCGTGTGCTCAGATTTGGGTGCACGTTAAAGAACCCCAGGTGGTCTAAATTTCCGGAGCCCTCCACTACGGCGTCTCTCATAATCATATAGTGGTTTTGGGACGTTAAACCCCACATATCAATCAATCAATTCAGAGATTAATGATATTAAATACCTCGGCTTGAAAATCGAAGTGCTGTTCAACTGCATATATGCTGCACCTTGGCCCTTTATTATTATTTGCGCGCTTAGTATTCATACAATGTATTTATACGAATAGACTTGCCCAAGTGCCCGCAAATAGTGTGGTTTTGTTCTAGAATATATAATGACTGAAAATAAAAACACCCGGTGAACCACCGCAACAAACAAAGGAGCACATTAGTCATAAGCGAAGGACTATATGGCACATCTATTTGTCACGACGCCAGGGAATGTTCTTCATAATGGGTGCCACCTTGAACTTGTACATTAGCCAGGCAAGTGTTCGAGAAGCAGCCACACTGAATGATGCCCAGTGTGCACCAGGATGCTTCAGTTACATTCCGCAATGCTTGCGTCACAAGCTTTGTAGACAAGACCTGATCTGACAAACAAGGGCATGGCTGTTGTCCTCGTCCAGATGGCGCGGCAAATGGTTTTTGAGTATAACTTGACCACTAACTTATATCTTGAGAAAATATTCTGCTACAGTGATGATATATTCTTCAGCGATCAAAGAGGATTACATTGCAGAGAGACTGCGAGTGACCCAGCGATGCCCCAGAGTGCGGCGGGCTCGCTATCGGCCAGACAGTCGGCGTAGTGCAGTTCTATTTTTGTGCTAAGGTAGAGATCGCGACCCTGATTGGCCAAAGACGGCGAGGTCGCGCCCATGGGGCGAACCATTCTCGAATAGTCCGGGTGACAACAAGGAACTCACAAGAAATCCTTGCATACAACCTCGCAAGAAGTCGAGACGCCTTGAAGAAGTTGAGGTGCGGTTTCATGACGCGGCTACATCTTGAAGGGCGGGGCTTCTGGCACTAATGCTCGGAGAGATTGATGATTGTTTCTGTTGCGTACGGGATTACGTCATCGGTTGGCCCCACCTTTTTTACCTTCAACACGACGACGTCACAGACACCGCGTGCACGCGCATCGTGCGTGCCTGTCACGAATGAGACACGTGGACCGCTGCTCGGGGCGAAAATGACAAAAATTGAAACGCAGATAAAAAAGCGCCATGGGCCCGGCACTCGAAGCGATGCGACAGTTCGGCCTGGCAGTGACACCGCGCGAGCGCCAAGACGAAGACAAATTAGGGCTCCGGAGACGAGCGAGCCTCCTCTTATCGTCTCGGCGTCGTGAGTGTGGCCGGCAGCAGCGACCGTCGTCATGCATTCTCTGGCAACGCGCGCGTGCCTTACGGCTCTCTTCACGACTGCATACGGTGAGCATTCACAAAAGGAGATTCAGTACTTTTTTGGTCCCGTAGCAACAGCGTAAGTTTAACGAAACGATAGCCTCAAGGATTGGGTTTTGCGGAGCTTGCTTTCGAAACAGAGCACGTGGGATGCGTGCGACGAGTTGCAGGCTAGGTATTATGAGATTCATTTCTCTCAGTCTCAACACCATTAGTACATGATGTAAGTCAAGGCGGTGAATGGTTTCTGACGCTTTTTAGAACCCACTTGACTCGCATAGTTCACATGTGTTTACTCTGAACGTAACGTGTCCCCTTTGACATTGCAATGCCCTATTCGGTTGGTTCGGTGTGATGCAGATGCGGTCGGTGAGGTCAAAACTGCGTGTCATAAAGGAAAAACAGTAATAGCCGTTGAAAATAGCCTCAACGCGGTGATCTAGTGGCTAAGATACTTGGCTGCCGACCCGAAGGTCACAGGATTTATCCCCGCTGCGGTGGCTGTATTTCCGATAGAGGCGGAAATGCTGTAGCCCGTGTGCAACAATTTGGGTGCATAATAAACAACCACACTAAGTAGAAATTTCCGAAGCCCGCCACCACGGCGTCTCTCATAATTATGTGGTGGTTTTGGGACGTTAAACTCCACATGTCTACCTGTCACTTTTAAACGCAGTGCGAAAGGAATTCAGTCCTGACCTTAAACTTAATAAAAAGCTTAGGCAGGACACTAAAAGGTTTAGGCACGATTCCTTTGTCCTAGTTGCATATAATATCATATTCCTTTTCAAAGAGCCTAATTTATTTCGCCTAATAAATTTTATATAAATATAGCCTCATCCTAAATATAGCCTCAAGGCTAAAGTACTCGGTTGCTGACCCGCAGGTCGCAGGATGGAATCCCGGCTGCGGCGGCTGCATTTTCGATGGAGGCGAAATTGCTGTAGGCCCGTTTGCTTATACTTGGGCGCTAGTTAAAGAACCCCTGGTTGTCAAAAATTACAGAACCTTCCACTACGGCGTCTCTCATAATATTATGGTGGTTTTGGAACAAACCACACATACAAAGTTTTATATAAATATAGCCATTTGCACCAACCAATACCATTGGTGACAGTTCGTTTTCTTGACGCAAGATGCGCTATCAACCTCTCTTTAGTGTAATGAGGAGATGGCATGTTTTTATCACATATTTCTCCTTAGAATGTGCTTGGAAGTTTCAGTGTTGTAATGCACCTAAAATATGGCCCATCACAACGCGAGCGGCAGAGCAGTGCATGAAAAAAAAAAGAACGAGAACAAAAAAGTTGACAGTTGTCACGCGTTAAACAGTTCATTGCCTTTGGCACCAAGCTAGTGCGACAAGCTGTGCCCTTGGCCCGAGGAAGTGCGACACTGCCGGCGTGAAGTCGCATTCCTGTCTAGCACCGGATGATGGGGCCCGGCTTGTTCGAAAGGTCTTTTGTTTCTGAAAATGAAAAGCGCGAATAGATTTTTTTTATTCGAGCGTAGTCCTTGCGGTTAGTTCGCAAAGTAGAAGTTCGTATATCCTGGTTTGCTTAGTCCTTCCCATTGTTTGTTGCAAAGGTAAAGTGTTCCCTGATTCAGTAATTTCATAGAATTGTTTGAGATCGTTATTCTCCTGTACTTTCCGAAATCGAAGCCAGTGCGCAATAAGATGTAGCGTTGGGCTGACCTGGACACCCCTTTTTCTTTTCAAGTATGACATGCTTGAAGTATTTTTTCAGAAAAAATAATATATGTGGGGTGCTTTTCTTGAAACTTTGTATACTTGTCAAAGCGTTTTCCTTGTGAGAGAGTTTGTCGCCTCGTCTAGCTATCTCTTCAACGCCCCTTACGGGGCATATCGATACAGCGGCTGGCCTGTCTTCAATACGGGCCACCGCTTGATAGTGGGCGCTACACCCGTTCTGTAGGAAACAGGCTGCTTCGTGTGTGCTCTACACTTCACTTGTTAATCAGCTCTTTCCTTCTTTCGTCCTTGAGCGGAGACGAGCGCCCGCTCACGCACTCGTACACACACAAACGCGTTAACGCACACGTGTGCCCTGGCACGCGCCTGCACGTGAGGCACATAAGCTGGGGCATTCCTCCTGCACAAACCGTACTCAAATGGGTCCATGGATAAACGCTACGGCTGTTTTTTGAACTTTACAGGAACAACATAACACAGACTTTCTTTGACTATCTTACACACACATACACAGCAAGCATGCATACTGACAGAAGAAACGAGGAGGGGAAAAAATGTTATTTAAACTGACAGTGCTAGATAGCCCTTATCCTCATAGGGCTGGTCAACATCCCCAGTCTGGGACGTCACTAGCAAAAGCCGTATACCGAGCCCACTGGACCAGAATTCGCTGCTCCATTAGTGTGGTGCAATTCAGCAGGGTTGTCTCCTCGTCTCCTAGTCCTGTAGGGTGGGGTTGCGGATTGGGGTAATTCTGGGTTCATTTGGCAGGCCCACATGATAAGGTAAGTGTTCGCCACTCCAGCACAGTGCCCACACTGCCCAGTTATTTTCAATCGTGATGTTCGAATATTGCCTGATAGAGCGGCGTGTTTTTTTGTAGGCACCGCAGCACACGCACTCCTCTGTTTTCGAGAGTGAAAAGACGTCCATTTTTGAGATCTGGTGCAACCAAAAGAGCAACTGTAAAACTAGACCACATGCTAGAATATCTATTACTTTGGGCGGTTGTTAGATAATGTGAAAGTGGTGGGCCGGGTACTGCTCTTTTCACTGTCACGCTACCTTCAAAGCCTGCAAACGACACTAAGCTTTCAACAACAATCGTCCTAAGCTGGTGACGGCAGATACAAAAGAATGTCCCGTCAAATGTTATGTGCTAACCAAACATGCAGCGTACGAACGCTCTGAGTAGCGCTCATTCAGGCATCTTCCCATTTGGCCCACATATGGCCCAGCCACAGCTCAACGGGACCTCATAGACAACCTCCGTTTTGCACCCCGCCAACTTTAGTTAATGGTTCGGGCCACAGCTGCCATTGTTTCTGACTCTTGTAAGGACACACGCAAGACAACTTGCATGGCGCTGAACAAAAAAAAACATTGACAGAAAATTTCTTCGCCACTTTCATAATACCATGCGAACAGTTGGTACGTAGTGTAAAACGACAAATCCTTTCACCTTTGAAAACCTGCTGCACAGTGATACCAGGAACAGAACTATGTCTCCAAATGGCCTTCAATAGTTGCTCGGCTGTAGTCTTCAGTAGAGCCTCTGTAAAGCTTGCTTCTGAAAGTCTAGCCACATGGGAAGTGAAACTGCCTTGGGCTGTGTGGTGGCAGGAATTAACTTAAGGATTCCTTCAGTCAATTTCAACTGCGAGATTAGGCCCGTGCTAGCTTTAAGCTACTTTTACTTGTGTTCCGTGACCCGCGCAGTTTTGCTTCACTTCCAACACTAAAAGTTTCCTCCACGATAATAAGCTATCGCGCCTTGATAATCACTTACGTTCTGGTGCTTCTTGAATTGGCGAAGCATAGTAAGCAAGACAATAACGCTATATTGAAATGAAGTAATTCACTTTTTCCTTGATTAGTCTGGGACATGTACAACAACAAGGGAGCAATATCGAAAAGCAGCTGAAGAGGGTATTTATCCCCAGTTACTGTGTGTACGTTTTTATGACAATTTTATAGTGTACTGACATTCTTATATTACATGCTTAGAGTCTAAAATAACACATTGGCTGTGTCCCAATTCTTAGACAGCTCGTAGACAGTCTATGAAGTCTGCTATAAGACAGCATCGAGCCCATGCTCTCCGAGAAATGACACACATTTAGACGGCTTTTACGCGACGATGCGCCACCTCATGTCAAGAAGAAAAAGCTAAAGTAAACAAACTTAACAGTTGTATTGTCTGCCCTATTCCGTATTGAAAGCAAAAAAAAAAACAACAACAAATAAACGTCACTCACACTGAGCGTCTCGCGAAGCGTCTGCTTGTGTGCAGACAACCATTCCGGCGAGATCCGATTTATCTGAGTGATTCACTGAGCCGCCATCTTGTTTAGACAGCAAAGTAGCCTGCATCGTATTTGCCGACGATGTGGTCTTTTTGGAGCTGTCTATTTTGCTGGCTACGTGAAAATTGGAATGGGACTTAAGATGGCCGCCGTCCACTTAGCTGTTTATTTAACCGTCTACGGTGAGTATTGGAACATACCCAATGACGTAAAAACGTACGCACAAAAAACTAAATGAAAAAAAAAGCATGCAGAATAAATGCAGGACTGGGAGTTACCGTTTTAAGTGATGCCATCACTTATCCGAGAGCGTGTGCTGCTACTGCAGGCGGGTCGAGACTTTCACTAACAACTGTTCTTCGTGCAGTTTTATTCCAGCGCACGAAATAGAAATATTGCCCCTTCTCAAAACAGCACTGCTAGCACATGTGAACTATGTGCACTAAAAATGATTATGGTGCACAAGATGAAGAGCCAATTTCTTTATAACAGTTGCGAAAAGTAATACGCGGCTCAAGCCCCAAACCAATAAGACTGATTCTTGCTGTTCAAATAATTTGCGCTAAAATGGTAGGGCTAGTAAATTTTAATAAGCACTTGGAAGCTCGCTGGAACCATAGAGGATAAAATTTTGAAAAACTTTTGTATTCACCATCCTAATTTAATAGTCAAGCATGGATCTTGTAGTGCAAAAGCACTGGATTCACCCTTATACCTTACTACAAAGCATAGCCGAAGTGCTACTGTGATTCAGGAAGAAGTTGTCAGGATGGTACTACACGGTCGAATGTAATGATGCAGAGCGTAATTTGAGCGCTTAGCGAATAAAAGTGGTCGACTGGGCTAGATTATAACAAGGAAACTCAATACAACAGGCTAAGGGGCACACAGGCTACCGGTAAATTATTTAACGATTATAGATAAGCACAACGTTAAGATGACGGAAGGCCGTCAAATAGACCAGGAGTAAACAGTGGTAGGCGATATTCTGTTTGACATCAAGCCAATGAAACGGACTGGGGCTGGCTCCACAATAAATAGAACAGAAACCACTGCTTATGCAGTGGAGGCTCTAGCGTCCCTATAGGGATAACCGCAGACCTCCCCAAAACCAGCTCAAACAGCCTTATTTCTGGTCCCCTCTTTTTGTTTGCATGACAGAAACCATCACCACCAACGTTTGCAGACGTCAATGGCTGCAAGTAAGATACAGTAAGAAAATGATGATGTCAATAAACTGCAGTCAGGTGGAAGAAGTAGAGCGAATTGGGTGTAACTAGGATAGGCACTTATACAGCGATGAATATATAATATCCCGTTAATAACAATGACTGTAATTGCACTACATGGAAGTTTTGTGGATTCGGGCATCTGTTACTACACAACGACACGTACTAGTGATTTCATTGTGCACTGTAAACACTAACTTGCCGAAAACTTAAGCTTACTTTAATACGAAGTTGCAGTTTTCAACGTATGAAAGCTCAAAAGGGAACTAGTGAGAATGAGGAAGGGGTGTACGCTGCTGTAACTTGGAGCTCAGGGGAGTCTTTAAAAGTTAACCTCTACTGTAAGGCGTGCACACATTCTTGCGTTACATCTCCAACAAAATGTGACCCTCACATGAGGGATCAAACGCGTGACTAACATGCTTAGAGCAGCACTGCACCGCATCCTCTAGATCGCAGACGGTCGACCACAATTCCACTTTACTATTCGTTCATTTCACGTAAATGGCTGGATTTCTCTGGAGATCTGTAATCTATGAACCGCTAGAGAAGCTCATCATGCAAGTGGAACCGAAATAGCTGAGAAGAAAGAAGCCTAACAAAAGCCGAGGAGGCTAGCTCTAGCAATAGGACTGGGGCAGTACAATGTCACCTTGAGAACAAGCGTGCTATTGCTGTTGCCTAGGGCCCAGGGACCCGGGCAGAAGTCACAGCAGATTACAGGCAATTTGAGAAGAGCATAGTGGTGGGAAGGCAATCACACGCAATCGCTACCGACGCCATGTGAATTTGAAGGCGTTAGAGAGAGAGAGAGAGAGAGAGAAGAGAGATGAGAGGGATTAGAATGATTGATGGCCTCCAGATGAAAGCAGCTGATGGAATCCGTCACCGTATATTACGAAAATGTTTGCCGACCCTGGGACCGCCATGGCGTCTACCGAGGTACTCCCCACTGCGCAAGCAGCGTGGATACCGCGGGAAAAAGCGCTTACGAGACAGCCGCCGTAGTGGACCGCTATCGTCGACGCAGGAAGGAGGGGACGAGACGATTTGTGGGAATGCCGACGCCTTCAGAGCCATTAACACCGGGGCGGCCAGACCGGTCCGGGCGGAGAGAAGACGTGCGACGTGACAATCAAAAGATGGATCTGCGGCACACCATCCATGAAGAGCAGACGAGGTCGCACGTACCCGATGGCGGCGCGCTTCTAATGTCTCCCGGATCGTCGGAAGCAAGATGATACGAACCAGCCTGCGTAGAAAAACAAATAAACAAATAAACAAACAAAAACATGGACCGCGTGGGGCATGGGCCCTTGAAAGCTTCCAGCGGATCGACCAGGGGCTTACGATTCTGCCAGTTTCTGTCATCACCGAAATAAATAAGTACAGAGAAACAAGTTTTCTCCCTTTTTTTTGCACAGCTGATACGGCACCCAATATTGCAAAGTGCGTATCTTTTTCTATATATCTCTCGCCCCGTCTGAAGGAATTCGTTGATGAGAACAAGGCTTATCGACAAAACCTTTCTACAGGCGTTGGGGTTTCCACCCATTGCCAGCCGTTGGTTATTCAGCTATCTGTAACGCATGGACAACCAGGGTGCCTAACATGTTTAGGTGGGGTCGTACACAGGGTATATAGGGTACACAGGATACACAGGGAAGTATGCCTTACTGTGGACGCTATCTCAAATATATTTTAACATGTAAAAGCCAAATAGGACCGAGTATGTGTTGGTCATAATCTTGTGCAATAATGAAAGTGAATTGCTTTACCGAATAAATCTTTCCAACAAAAAAAAAAAAACCTCTACATTGCATGCAAAAAAAGGAGCTTGACAAAATTCTGCCTGAACGCTTGTTGTGCGCAAACGAAAAGCCATAATGACAGTGACGAAACGGCTTGTCATCGCTAAGAATGAGAAGTGACACGTCGTGTATCGGCTAAACTCTGATTGATGAGAGAGAAAGAACCATTCCAAATGCAAGATCTATTTTTTTTTGCATTCCACAAAGAGCGATATTGTTGTTTACATTTGTGAGCTTTAATAGTTCACATTTCATATCTAGTTTTCTTTAAAGCGCTGTGCATCACGTTTCAAAAGTAATTCTCATTGTGAAACTTAATTTCTACAGCCACCACTGCCCCATTCAGGAGCCGCTCATTTCTGCCGTTCCTCAACGACTTCAACCAATGCGACGCCTTTGGCGAGGAATTGTTCTCACTAAGCCACAGTCTTCATTGGTCATCACAAAACTATCACGATGTTAGGAAGACAAAAATACAGTGTGCCGAAGCCTGCCATTGCTCACGCAGTTTTATTACGTGAAGTAGGTGTTCTGTCGCTCCAATGATTACTGAAAGTAGAACCTCCTTCATGCAGCATTACCCGTCAACGAGAAGGCGTCACCATCGACACCATGGCCTGATGCGTGCCCCGAGCCATACGTGCGAGAATCGGAGGCGTTCCTGCGCGAGATCGTGTCAAGATTGGAGTCCATCTTACCGGACAGCATACCCGTGCCCGATGTGTCCTGTCAGGAGTACACTCTCTTCAATGGCACACTGTCCCCTCTGCACTTGACTGCCGTCAACGTGATCGAAGAGGAGGCCATGTGCCAGAAGAGTGAACGCCATTTTCCGTTCACAATTTCAGTGAGCAAGGTAAGTTAAGAGATGTTGCGAGTGCCATTGATATTTTTTTTACTGCACAACAGCAGTTGATGTTCGTGGCGTGCTCTTGGCCACCACCCCACGGAGGTTCACACTCACTGTCACTCGAAATTAATCAAAGAAATGTTCACAATCAAGTCCGAATTTAATCCAGGCTTTCTGCTTTGCAGTCGACTATTTCACTATACAGACACGTCGGCGCTTGAAAGCTTTGAAACCATGCCCTTCAGAAAAATACCCTGTACATACATTATTCCTCAACATACATCATGTTAACTGATGTACTATATTGCGGCAGAAAGTTGAATTAGCACCTATTGTCACTCTATATGAACTGTAAAAAGAGTGTGTGGTCCTTGGTTTTCCTGCCATTATAAATGGCTCTGCCATGTTTCTTTATAACAATGAGCACTGCACCCGCAATGCATAACTAATGTGTTGAAGACGTGTAGCGCGTACCGCAGTTCCACGTTTTACGATAAATAATTTCATAATGCACATTTCTCTAGTTTCCAAAATTACAACCATTTACGGCACAATGGGTAAATTGCACCTGCACTTGTAGTAGTCGTGTCGAGAGAGAGTAAAACAGCTTCTACAAAAGCTCCTCGTCGAAGTTGCGCCGTGACATTGCTTCTTGTTCCGCGCAGGCCTAGCGTTTCTTTACTCGAAAATATCAGCATATGATTTCCTAAATGGTCGACTCATTGGCTAGCTGGCACAGCAAATTGTCCGAAAAACCGAGTGTGTGTGAAAATGTACAATGGTGACGGACAAGGTGTGTTGTGTGTTTCTATTTCGTTGGTCGTGCTTGCTTCCGCACTCTGACTTATGTAATATGAATTTCAGTAAGCTTACACAACGCAAGCTTGAGTAGGAAAAGGACATTTGAATATTGATTAAGTTAGGACCGTGTTCCGCCGTAATATTAGTCACTTCCACAAGCGCAAAACGTCTTATCATACAATGAGGCTTAGGGCAATTTTCGAATAAGATTACGAGCTATATTTTTAGAAATCTCAATACGTAAGTACACACTATTATTTTATGTTGACACTTGTGCATGTCACAGCAATGAATCATTTCGAGTGACTTTCCTGGCATGCTATATAACTATGAACACAATAAAAGTGCAGCCTGCATATAGGTGAAATCGCCTGTTTTCAAAATGAGGACCCTCTAACTAGAAACATTTCACACCATTTATGTGGTATAGTCATTCATGGACTGCTAGTGGGATAAGCAGAATCAACAGAAAAGAGAGGCTGCAGCCGATGTTTCGATATAATCTTTGCCAAGGGCTTCCTATAAAAAATTGGCCAGCCTGTCTGAGGCACTTTCTCTGTTCATTCTGCTTATCCCACGGCGTCTTTCCAATTGCGGACTTCCGTCTTCACTTCGGTCTTCGAGTGCAAGAATTTACGAAGTAACATGTATTGTCTGTTATTCCCCTTTCCCTACCACACTCCCAGATGGACGGCACGTACGAGTACATCCACAGAGGGTCCAACGACACAGACCCTGAAGACCGTGGTCACGTTGGAAGTCCTTTCTCCGGTGCTTATATGCGGGGCACTCTGAGCCAGAAGATGCAGGCAGCCAGCGGAGACGGAAATGGCGTGACGTTGACGCGACCCGAATTCTGGCCCATGAGGATTACGCTGGGAAACTTCATGTCCTACCCGAACATCCGCAGCTACCCGATGAAGCGCCAGAGTAGCGGAGCATCGTACGGCCAGATGAAGTGGGCTGCAAAAAGAACTTTCTATCCACTGTTCATATGGCTTCCGGAAACGCATGTGTTGCCCGCTCTGCGTCAAGCGTACGGGGGAAGGCTGATTGCTCACGTTGGGAAAAAATAGGTGATGTAACGGCACCGCAGTGACAAAGCATGCTTTCATGATCGAACACATGAATTCTGAATCTAAAAAAAAAGTGGTCGAAGTTTGGAAGTTTTTTCTGCCTGGGAAATCGAACGGGCCTTGATATTTTCCCCGTTTTGACTAACGCCAAGTGCCGGAGTGTCTCTCTCTTCGAGACGCTTATTAAACGAGTGCAAACAGCGTGATTAGGGCTAGCTAAATTATTATTTTGCGCTAATTTTCATAACGGTGGCCATTTCCATATGCGCCCTAGTGTTACTTTTAACGGAAAGTAACAGCCATAACGGTTGTGACATTTAGAAAAACAATTCGTCAAACATAAGGGTTATGTCAGAAAGGCAAAAGAAAGAATTGAGTGAAGTTAATGTGGACACAAGACATATAGGCAGTTCTAGCAGTTCACAATGCGAAGTGGGCTATCACGAGGCAGCTAACGTGAAATACACAGTGACCATGCGCGTCTTACATGATGGCTACCTTAGCAGCTGCGAAAGACACTCAGGAGCGTTTTGATTGTGTAGTCAGCATGGCAGCGGCTGAACTGCCGACTATGAAACAGTGTGCGCTCGCTACTTGAGGCTACTTTTTGAGAGCTTACAAAAAAAAACGAACAATGTGACTCATTCCTCATTTTTTTATCCGCCATTTTTTTGGGGGAAGATACCGATAACTGCGATAGGCAGTTCATTAGGGCGTTAGCTCTGTGAAGAAGCCGCAGCAAGTTACAAGAGTTTTTCGGTTAATAGGAGCACAATCACATCACTTCATTTGCATCAGTGAGGTATTGACACGGTGTAATGACCTAATCAGATACTCATTACTCGCAACTTCATTAACCTGCTTTTATGCTTTTGTATGGTTTACCAAGACACTTCGGCCTCGGAAAGTAGGTGCCACAATAGCCTGGCGGAAAGACGCATGTGTCATCTTCCGAATGTCAGATTTTGTGTTGACCATTGACGCATAATGAAAAGATAAAAAGCACTAATATTCCTTGACACGATTACCTCGCTCAGATCAATAGTACGAGTCGTGTAAGAAATTAAACTGAATCTCATTAGAAAGCATATTGCGTGCAATTGAAAGCGAGCACACACATGACACTCTTTGGATGTAGGTTTCTCAACAGCACACTATGTGTGCGTCACCGTCATGTGACTACCTGAGCACAACACAAATGGAGAGGGTGTTTGTTATTAAACACAATGTTTTTATTTTTTATTTACAGATACTGCGTTCTGTTCCAAAATCTTAGCTGGACAATTAACACAAAAATGCAAACAATTTAACACACATATATTGCAGGCTTCTTTCAAACAGTTGTAAGCGTTCAAAAACAAAAAACACTTATAACAAACAGGTGAATTAGCACGAAGATATTAATACCATATTCAGGTGTTATTAATACATGGCCAAAGGCTTTTGAGAAACTACACTGGAATTAAGATTATTCCAGTCCGTTACAGTCCGGAAAAAATATTTAGAACAGTTATTTCTCGTGGAAAAGGGAACTATGGTTAAAGCATGCCTTTGCCTTGTTTCACAACCTGTTGAGAAAGAAAAATAACTCGAAGTGTGGACTTTATAATAACCATTTACGAGCTGATGTATAAATTTCATACGGCAGACATGGTTGCGCTCCATCACCACTGCGTTGTCCACTGCATTTAATTAGGATCTTAGGTAGCAATACCCTCCCGATGTACTTTTATGCGCTGGATTCACAGGGCGAGTGTGAAAGCAGTATTATATGCATTTTAGCTCATGGTGTCGCATAAAACAGCCTCTGTATTGCATAGAGTTAGCTTGCAAAAATAGCGGTTCTTCTTACAAGTACAAACAATACTATGGGATATACTTCTATTATTGCCATCCTCATTTTCTTCGTATCATACCTGCTTTGAATAAGCAAATTGAGCTTTTTGAAGGCCATGCTGCAAGGAACGTGAGATCTATAACTTATTTGAGAATGTTTAACATTAATAGAATGTGTCTGTTGTTAGTAGATGTGTCGTAATAGGTAGCCTAGTATTTGCATAATTTTGTTTTCATTCTTCAAGGCTTTGTGTCACCTAATAAAGACGTCAAAGGCATATAGCGTCTTCCAATTTTCGTTGTTTATTAAACACTCATACAATCTGGCATATACGAAGATATGCATTGCGGCATACGTGCTACACCGGGTAAACTTTTAAACTTTCACGGGTTGTTCAGTTAGACGTGCGTAGTTTACTGAATATCATTCATAAATTGTTGCTTACTGCAATGCGCTTCTGAATAAAAAGAAATACCGTTCTCTTCGTTGAAGTATCCGTCAAACACAGGACTGCTTTTTTTTTCACTTGAATAGGAGTAGACTACTTCGCTGCGGTATAACTCCAGTGTTGATTTTAACAGCTTGTTTGGCAAGCTTCTTGTGCTCGTGCCTTGTGCAGCAGCGGCGTTTAAATTCCTCCAGTGATTTCAGAAATGCTCATCAGATGGCGCGCAACAAATCATGACCTCAGCTTTTCGGTGATTCGAAAAATGCTCACTAGATGGCGCGCCGCCACTCAAGGTGGCACACACACCACTCGGCACGTGCGCTTCCTTTCTCTCCGCCGCGAGCACACCCGGTGAACACTCTTCGTATCCACTCGGCCTCATGAACACCTCAGAAGCGAAAGCAGCGGTGCGCTGGGTTCACAACGCAAAAGAAGCTCGGCCACGTTACCAATACTTTATTGTGCCCGGCAATCATGCAACACTTCGACTCCTCCTTCACCGGCAAATGTCCGTACTATGTGAAGTGGCTGACACTTACCACAGCATCTGGGCTTAAGTTGAGTTGAGCTTGCCAGTTCAACTCTTCCCCCTAACTCAACTCGAGAGGATGGGGAAGCGACTCTGCTGGGTTGCTAGGACATTTAGGCCTAAAGGGCACTGGACCATAGAGTTATGATAGCCAGTGTCGCAAATGGCGTCCCGCAATAAAGACTCCCCGCACTATGAAGCCTCTAAAAGGGTGCACCTCTCCTTTGTTTTCTTAATATATGTTTTCACTCACTCACTACCAACACCCTGCCCGGGGTATATAAAAATTTTGTCACGTCTATATATGATGGTAGCAGATGTGTACGGATGATTCGCGGGTTACCCGATCATCTCGAAGTCGGCTCCTCCGACATCATTCACTTTTAGGATATGGCGGCAATTTTGTTTCTTTGCGAATATAACGCGAATTAGCTCCGAATACAAGAAGAGGGACCATGGACAAGGGCCACGCAGTACAACTCTCAATATTCAACAGTAAAAGGCTGAAACAGCAGTTTCTTTTACATACTTAAAGGCATGGCGAAAAAAAATGTAGTCTATAATTGGACACTCGATTGATTTGGAACTTTTATGGTGGGTTGCTATACCACCAGCCAAGCGTAACTTTTATCAGTATCAGTGAATAGAACCACGTATTATTACCGTGGAACCTCTAGAAAAAGTGCTGATTCATTTTTTGAAATACACTTATGTGATGGGTGTTCTTTGAAACTATTAAAGGCAACCATCTCCATAGTGTGAGAGGGACAAATCGGTGAAAAATGGGTCATGTGTTTTATATTGGACCACGAAACCACGAATAATTTTTGTACGTGTTTTCCCATCGTGCTTTTCTCAGAAGACCACAAATGAAAGTTGAGCCAGTAGTGTGAGCATGTGTGGATTTACATGCATGGCGTCCAATAAGCTCTTCAGGGTTAGTGGTCATGAAAGGAGAAATCTGCCTTTGTTATTCCCGGTAATCACTTCCTAGTGTACGCTAAGTCTGAACCAACGTCGTATTCGGCAGTGTGGAAGTCCTTGAAAGAGTTTCATGAGTTCGTCTGAAAAGTGAAGTTCACCCGTCTCATTTTTTCTGCCTCAACATCAACCATGGCTGATTATGATGATGACGTCATCAAATATGGCTCACACCCACATTTGAAAGCACCCAAGACTTCGCGTCAAACTTCTTTCTTGTGGCTACTAGCTCCACGAAAATTCCAGTGATGGTGTTGATTACAGGGGGGGGGGGGAATCGAATAAACAGGTACTCTCTCAAACAATGGCTGTTATGATTCAGTTTTCGATGCGCCAGGGAAAATATGTGCGGTCTCTTCAATTGACGACACCTCCTTTTAGTTATTTATAGTAGCGCAATGCTAGCTGGTTGTAGCATTGAAAGGGAGGAACCGAATTTCAGTGGTTGGAAATCGGTAACGTAAGCTAAGCGCCTAAAATATTACCTAGCCGATACTTACAAGCAACCCTGACACCACAGCATCTCTTTGAGTAAGCATGGCGATATTGATTGATATGTGCGGTTTAACGTTCCAAAACTACCATATGATTATGAGAGCCGCCGTAGTGGAGGGCTCCGGGAATTTCAACCACCTTAAGTTTTTTAACGTGCACCCAAATCTGAGCACACGGAGCTGCAACATTTCCGCCTCTATCGGAAATGCAGCCGCCGCAGCCGGGATTCGATCCCGCGACTTGGGGATCAGCAGCCGAGTACCTTAGCCACTAGACCACCACGGCGGGGCAAGCATGGCGATAAAGTATCCATGGAATGAAAGAGTAAGTCAACGCATCTTGTGCCAAGCAGAAATTAGCCCCAGAAGGACATACTTCATTTGGTAAGTATGCTTAGAGAATAACAGCAACTCAAGTTCTCGGCTTTTTCAGGAGCCAGAAACTGAATGGAAACACAATTTAGAGAGTGCATCATTACATACAGAAAACAGGTCCTGATGTAGGCAGGCTTATACAAAATATTATTCATATTATTATAAATAGTTTATTGAAATTACTATCTACATTGCTTCCTTACATTGATACCTCTAAAGGTAACGTATAAAGCAAGTTTCACCAAAAGATCGCAAATTACACTGCTGCTGATGTGTACAACTTTAGTAAAGAAAAAATGATTGTGAAACGCGTGAAATAGGTAGAAAATCACTAATACAAAATCATCCTGTATGAACGGTATGAACCCCAAGGACGCATAACCAAGGGGCGGAAACTTCCTATGTAGCTTTTAAGAGACTCGCTCTTTCACGGTTATACGCTGCGACAATGCCGCTTCCACTACTGACGTCCCCCTGCCGGATATTCTGCTGAAAGTAATTCACAAGCAAAACATTTCTTTTATGACGTCACGGGTGAGGTTAACATATAGAGGGAAAGGATGCGAACCGAGGGCAGAAGACTTGCCCCGAATGCCGCGAATGCTCTGCTTCTCCACTTCGTATGGACCCAGATTTTGTTCGTGCCTCATTGCAGGTCTTCTGGCCGCCCTCTCGACACGGTCATTCGTTTAATTACGTTAACCATTTTCGAAATGTTGTTCGCGTGTTATTATGTGGACAAATGAAAGCTGACCCAATCCTCACAAAGACAAAGCATGATATATAGATGCAAACTTTAAAAAAGATCACGCGTATTGTCACACGAGCAAAATTGAAGATTTCTTATATCGTTCCTATTGTACTACAAACAGAGACATACGTGTAGTCGGAAGAGACAGCCTGCACAAAGCTTTCGCAGCTGAATTATGCTTATAATGATGAATTATTGATCCAAGAATACCAGAACCCTTGCGAAAATTATTAGGTCACAAGCCGGTAACGTAGTTGACTCAATTACATCTTTATGACAATGAACATGATATTTTTTATATCTTGATTACCAAACAAGACAGAATATAAGGAAAAAGTAGTGGCACCAAGCGATAAGAAATCGTTGAACAGGAAGTGCTGTTGGAAGGATATTTCTGCTAAAGCTGGCATGCTTTCATTACGGCCTTTCGAAATAAACGTTCCATTTCAAAAAACGGTGGCACCAGACATTCCTTGTTTAACAACTTCTCAAAACATCAGCGAGTCAATTACATGCATTTCATTGACAGTATTAGAAGGGAACACCCACAAAGTTGCAAACAAGACATGTGCATTATCATGAACAGAACCTCTAGAACCTATAGTCGTTTAACATCATTTGAACTACATGCCAATGTAAAGGATGAAAAACTCTGTAGCCTAGTCAACACGCATTCGAGCCTCTCATGGAACATATTTTCTCGGCAACAAATGACTGAGCTCTCGTAATGCCAATTTAGTCAAGCGACACTGTGATTGTGTTATTCCAGTCAGGCTGGCAGATAGGTTTACTCTTGCACTAATCCAAACTTTATACTTGCTCTACTAATGTACCCAAACAAATGCGCTTACTTGTTGTCGTTAAGGGTCTTCGAAAACCTTCACGGAGCGAGAAACCATGGTGTTAACACACCACAGAGCTGCGCAAAATATGGGATGCTGCGATTTTGCCATCCTCGTCTAATGCATAGTTGATCTGCTTGACGTGGCGGACTGCGGCGCCCGATTGCCGCCCGCCACATCACATGCCTGGTCTTTCCCAGACTCGCTTACTGAGCTAGGCAACCGAGCGCGATTGAACTTGTGATATCACTGAGCGAGTGGCCAGGGTGAGAGGAGGCAAGCGCTGAACACGTCTTGCCGTACTTCACCTGATTCAAAATTCGCAATTTAAGAAATAAAAAAAAAACACAAATAAGCCTAAACTGAAGATGAGTTCTGTACCGTTCAATCACATTTCTTTATTTGTAAAAAGCTAGGCGAAAGACAGTAAATGCAATGATTAGCGTACACTTGATTCGTTAAATCAGATCTTGGAATGTCCGGCAACTGTTAGGAACACGGACGTTCCTGGAAAGGAAAAAGCCCTGAATTTCCGGGGCCTGCTTCAGAGACGCTTGCATTCGTGGGTAGGGTCTCCGCTAATGAACAGAAGATGCATCTGGTCTGCTGACTCACATTCTATATACGGATACGAATAGCAAATAGTATTTACAGCAGATGCGCCCGGCGTAGAGTGAACATAAGCCTGTTGGTGCTGACAATGTATAAAGTACTATAACATATTAACAACAGGCAAACCTTATATATCACAGGCAGCATTTGAGTTGATGACGTAAGTATCCATCATCCTATACCATGTTGTTGCGTTGAGAGGGACGGAATAAAAAGAAGGAAAGGCAGAGAGGTGAATAGACCAGTTTAAACCCTCATGGGTGCTTTGCCTGTCCATAACTATAAGCACCATACGGTAAGGGTGCTTTGACAAACCAACACACCCATGTCATAGGTGTTTTGGTTAGTCAAAACACCTTTATTGTAGAGTGTTAGTTATAGACTGGCCAAGCACCATTTAGAGTGAAAACTAATTTACAGTGCACGATGCGCATCGGGTTTGATGCTGTATTCCACGAGAATGAATGATTAAAGGGGTAGAATAAAAGTTACAAAATGTTTGAAAGGTCTTGTTAGAGTGTGAAGAGCATTGAAATTTTCAAAAAATAAAGCACGGTTGACGTTCATGGCACGTTAGCATGTTTAAAATTGTACCCTTGAAAAAAATGAGTTGTTCACCCCGCGGAGGTCATTAGAAACTGGTACTGGCAATGGTATGAAGACTCACCAGTCAATGATTGTGGCACATGAAATGATGAACTGCAGGCGACTGTCCTAAGTGTTGCGTCGTTACTTCACCTCCGCCTAGTAAAACTGAGTTATTTTGTCAAGTTGTTGCCACTTGAAGACTTCGTCATACAAGCCGCCCTGTGAAGACTGCTCTCTAAACTTCGCCAACTTGTGACTGCCAAAACAAGCAACACCCATCGCACAATTGAAGTCGTGATCAGAGTCGTCAGTACTCGAAATATTGTCACGGGGTCGTGACGTTGACGCAGGTAACAGTCGACGCGTTGAAAAAGAATGTCTTTATTTGGCCTAACACTGGGCAGGAAACTAATGGTCTTACTACCGTAATACACACTGTCACTGATAGCAACGAACAGAGCGGCGGCCATAGACAATGTGATGAGCGTCAACTTGCGTCGGCGTTTATATAAGTGTCGTAAAACATTCGAAGGTTATCGCTGGCGGCCGAGCTTTCGGAAGAAGTTCAGATGCTTGCGTTATTACTTTCAAGCTATACAGGTGATCCCAAAATTATCTGAAAGGCTCTGAGACTTTCCGGTACGGATTGAAAGATGCAGTAATGATTGATATGTGGGATTTAACGTCCCAAAACCACCATAAGATGATGAGAAACGCCGTAGTGGTGGGCTCAGGAAATTTCGACCACCTGGGGTTCTTTAACGTGCGCCGAAATCTGAGCACACGGGCCTACACCATTTCCGCCTTCATCGGAAATGAAGCCGCCGCTGCCGGTATTTGATCCCGCGACCTGCGGGTCCGCAGCCAAGTATCTTAGCTACAAGACGATAGCAGCTGGGCACCGCCAGGTGAATTTTTTGTTCTAAAAGTTGGGGCGTCCACACAGGGCTGCAAGAAGCCAGGACGTCATAAACGCCTACTGACAACTAAAGATGCATACAATGGCAGAAAAGAAAGGCACGAAAACTTACCTGCGCATGCCCGTGCAATATGCGAGATAACTTATTAATCTGGCACGCGCGGTGATATACAAGAAAGATAACTGCTCAAGCATTTTATCTTGCTTCAAATTGATATCACGGTAGGCTCAGGCATGCATTACCACTATTATCAATATTCCATGCCTCCATCACCAAACGCTTCTCTTCATTCATATCTTGCACTTGTTGTTTTATCTCTTTTTTATTTGTTGCCTTTGCTAGGGGTTTCGTTGAGCTGGCCTTGACGTCTGCTCCCTTATAATGCGTTGTTTCGTCGTTGACGTTCGGCCGACCTTCGGGGTCAATGAAAAGCATTCTCAGAACTTCAAGGTGCCGAAGGTCTACATGACAGCGGCCATTGTGGTGGTGACAATTTCACGCTAACATCAAGTGGTAGTGGTCACCATATGAGCAAGCATGCTTGCTGACAGGTTGACCACTACTACTTGAACGAGGCAGTATATCTGCATGAAAAAGATTGATTGATATGTGTGGTTTAACGTCTCAAAACCACCAAATGATAATGAAAGACACCGTAGTGGAGGGCCTAGGAAATATCGACCACCCGGGGTTCTTCAACGTGCACCTAAACGTGAACACACGGACCCACAGCAATTTCGCCTTCATCAAAAATGCAGCCGCCGAAGCCGGGATTTGATCCCGCGTACACGGGGAAGAGACCGGCATTGTACAGTCGACCACAAAAGTTTACGGACCACGCGAGCGCGTGGCCGAAGGTCTGTTCATGACACTTCCGATACGTCAGTGGTGGTCGACAGGACCGCAGCGCCCTGAAAGCATCCCTCCGCTAATCGATGGCCTGTCTCTTTTCTGACTGGGTACATGTAATTTTCACCTTTCACTTTTCAACGCGTCGCGCTTTAGGTATCTGCGTCTACGAGCTTCTGCCTGGACAGCAGTCTATCAGTATAACTATTATTCGTCGCATTTTTTTTATCGCAATGTGACACCTAGCCAACAGAACGCCGTTTGAGGAACGCCGTGATAGTTTTGATAGAACAACAATGCGCTACGCGGCAGTGGAAAACTGAAAGGCCAGTGAATACGAAGAAGACCCGTTTTCGGCCCGGAACTGCGTTCGACGGTAGATTGCGCGCCGCTAGGTGGCGCGGACAGGCAGTTTAGCACGTGCTTTCGTGGTCCGCAAACTTTTGTGGCCGACAAGGAGCGCGTCTGCCAGTATTTCTGTCGATGGAAGGTGTATGCGGTATTCATACATGACTCCCAGGAATCGCGAGTGGCATTGTAGGCGCAAAGTAATATTTGTTGAGACTTTGCATCCCAAAACTATATTAGGAATATGAAGGACGCCGTACAAGAAGACTCCATAAAACTTGGCCACAGGCCACTAGGCTTTTATGACAATACGGCCGCCACAGCCTAAAATGGAAGCCTCGACTGCTGGCTGAGCAGCCAAGCGTGATGACCACTGTACCACCGCGGCGGGTGGAAGGGGAAAAGAAACAAGCGAAATCATCAATATACTTTGTATTCAAAAACTTGTTTTAGGATAATAGTACTAATTTTTTGTGAACGTGACACCTCGGGCAATAGAAGGTGCTTGCGGTCAAGGCACTTCTTCGAGTTAGTTAAGTGGACACATGGGGCAATCTCATCTTGGTTATGAGCACTCAGTTATTGTAAGTTGGTTTAGCGTGTTTCGCGCTGTAGGCGTTTCAAGTCACAGATTTACTATAGGTGAGAAACTATAGTCACGGTTTTCAGCGTGTTCTCGAGCGTTAATTATTCACTCGTGGCTTCACTGCGTGTATAATGTAATTGTCAGTCAGTGGTGAATTTTTTCTGCTCGCTTGCCACTTTTGAACTTCTTCTTCGATGTCCTTCTGCAGCGTCTGCCTTTCAGCATGAGTGAGAGTCTGAATTCCTGGCGTCACAGGAATCATCAAAGCTGCGTGTAAAACGAAAAGCAACTTAGAAAACAAACAAAAACCACGTCAGAATATAAAACCACAACCTTCACATGTAAATTCAGTCTGAATGGCTTTCGGCTTCCGTTTTAGGTGGCCTTCGAGTTACCGTAATCAAAAGCGAGTGCTTCTATTCGGGCATCAAAATGAAGCTTCTGGGTATTGTTGGAATAACTTGATGGCAAGCATTACTGCAGACGTAAATTGTGCTCATGCTGAATCAGCGCAGAGACGAATCACAAAGAAAGACTACACAACGCAAACAAGAGAGCATGCTTAACAAATAAGTAACCTCGATGTTTCAATATGAACACAAGCCAACTAGCCCAACTCTCCCTTTTGCTGCCGTAAATTGTGCAGAAATAAGTAACCTCGATGTTTCAATATGAACACAAGCCAACTAGCCCAACTCTCCCTTTTGCTGCCGTAAATTGTGCAGAAACCATCAAAGGAAAAAGAAAAACAAGTATAAACGACACATACGTGTTACACACAGACAATCGCTCATTTCTCATTGTTTCTGAAGGAATAATGTGGGAGGCAGGTAACTTCGTCTTTGTTTAAGCCCAGCCACTTTGAGTATTCGCATGTATTAGATCACACATACAACGTACGATTTCAGGGATAAAGTTATTGATTTTGACTTCGTACAAAACACGACGGCGACGGTGAAAAGTTGCATGGAGTATCCCTATAGTAGCTATTGCAAAAAATATGAACATGCACAAACCTTTTTCGGATGGCAGTAGTGATGGGTGTAAATAAATCACGCAATTTACACGAAGTTTTCATTTGATTCACAAGGTTAGCTTTCATCGGTAACGAGTAGTTTAGGCCCTTGCCCGTTATATTCAAGGTTTTGAACAATAAACTACGAATATGCTTAGTATCACAAGAAAAAACTTATGGATCCCTGACCCTTCTTTTCGACTTCGCTTAGCACATGATACTCACCTCTGTAATCCTGTATGGGCAGATAGATGTGAGCGATTTCACCACTTCGTAGCTCTAATCCAGTTTCCTTCGCTAATGATCGCACGTAGTTGAGTCTTTCCTCCGTACCTTGCATATCCTGTGTAATGGGTATCAAGCTTTCCCAAAGCTGCAAAAATTATTAACAGTAATGACAGACATCAGTGGCATGCCTGTAAGGCAATTGCGGCGTACATTTACAGAGAGGGAGGCTATTGTGTATAAATTCGCAGCAGACTTAGTAACATTCTGAAAATATCCTTACACTGATGATGAAACAAGACTACCTCCATAAATTGTTTGAACCTGACAGTTGGTATCTTGATAACACTAAGTTACGCCTGCGAAGGACATCGTAGCTGCGTTGATTCACTAAATGTACTACATCGTCTTGTACTACCAGCTTTTGATAAGACAGAGCATCCTGCCATAGCAATAGATAAGACTCAAAATAGACTGTTTACATGTGTTATTTGAGGCGTAACGCTTCATGCTAAAACTAAAACAAACTTTTCGGTATGTTTTCAATTTCATCAACTGTGCTAGGACTATTTCCGAAAATATGCGATAAATAATGTACAATAAAATGCAACGCAGCATGAAAGATACGTCGTTGCTGTGTGCTAACTGTGTGCTCACCGTGGAATACCAAGCTACCGACGTAGACGGGGTCTAGACCCCGATAAGCCGACGTGGACTCAGCAAAAACGCTTTTTGATGATACTACGGCCTGTAGAAGGCCGTAGTATCATAGATCTCGGTGCTTCGGTGCTATAGATCTCGGTGCTTCGGACTAGAATGTGATTCCGTACGGCACTACCAACTTTCAGCGAAACTTCCCACGACATGAAGCTTTTCATGTCGTGTGCGTTAAGCCATCTAACATTCATCAATCTAACATTCACGCTTTGCCTATTATACTTTTGAATGCGAAGCATTTCTTAGCAAACTTCGGCGACTTTGAGCACATCTATCTATCTATATATCTATCTATCTATCTATCTATCTATCTATCATCTATCTATCTATCTATCTATCTATCTATCTATCTATCTATCTATCTATCTATCTATATCTATCTATCTATCTATCTATCTATATATCTATCTATCTATCTATCTATCTATCTATCTATCTATCTATCTATCTATATCTATCTATCTGTCTGTCTGTCTGTCTGTCTGTCTGTCTGTCTGTCTGTCTGTCTGTCTGTCTGTCTCGTCGGTCTGTCTGTCTGTCTGTCTGTCTGTCTGTCTATCTGTCTATCTATCTATCTATCTATCTATCTATCTATCTATCTATCTATCTATCTATCTATCTATCTATCTATCTATCTATCTATCTATCTATCTATCTATCTATATATCTATCTATCTATCTATCTATCTATCTATCTATCTATCTATCTATCTATCTATGTAGCCGCCTAAGACTTTACGCTGTCCTGGCCGTTTCGATGATGTTATAAATATCGAACTTGGTATGGCATAACATGACTCTATGGAGAACATATATTACTAGTCATAACATGAAAATATTGACATGTATGTCATGAATGTCAAGATTTACATTTCATGGTGTTGAAGCTCTGGCGGTGGTTTCGTTCACATGGTGTGTTGCACAACTGGTATGGTGTGTCGTAATTGCACAGTGAACACAAGCGACAGACCCTAACATGAAAACTATGACATGCGTGTCATGTAACAATATGATTACATGCCACGCTCATGATACGCTCGCGGTCATTTCGCTATCGTCACATGTACCAAATTTGGTATAATAATGCGTGAATGGATGACGAAGGTATGTGACTGGTGCAAACATGATAATCATGACATGCGTGTGATATAACAACACGACTACCTGCCACGCTCATGATGAGCTGGTGGCCGTTTCGCTAGCTTCACTTATACCAAATTTGGTATTACGGGACATGAGTGGAAGACAAAGGTATGATACAAGTGCAAACATGATAAACATGAGACGCGTTTCATGTAACATAACTACATTCTACGCTCATGATGAACTCGCGGCCGTTTTGGTAGCTTCACATGTACTAAACTCGATATTACCTGACACGAACGGACGACACAGGTAAATGACACATCCAAACATAATAATCAAGACATGCGTGCCATGTAACAACATGACTACATGCCACACTGATGATGCGCTCGCGGCCCTTTCGCTAGCTCCACATATACTCAAGTTGGTGTTACCTGACGTCGCTGGATGACACAATATATGACTGATGCAAACATGATAATCCTGACACGCGTGTCATGTAAAAACATGACAACATGCCACGCTCATAGCGTGCTCGCTGCCGTTGCGCTAGCTCCATGGACATATACGAAATTAGGTATCACGTGACGTCAATACATGATGAAGTTAAACGACAGATACAAATATGATAATCATGACACAGAAATCATGTGATGCATCAATTACCTCTATCTCGTAACATCCTACTGATTTTAAAGTGACATATCAAGATTGCTCATTGGCGCTTCGCATATCATTGATTCTCACTGTACGTTGTATCTGCCAGATTTTTTTCTTTGTGTATGCATTGCGTCTCCCTTCGGTGTTTTGTTTTGAACTTCGGCAGGATGCTTTACGCAGTGGGGTGATTAATGGCCTGTGTGCTCTTTCTCGTATTTCATGGATCCGGTTCGTTACACACGTAAGGACTGCCTTTCGCAAAGCGGGCCCGGTGCTCCGAAAACCTTCCAGATCATTTGAATAATTGTCCGATAGCCTTGAACGCACAAATGCGAGCATTCGAGCTTGTAGAAGAACTAGCGCTACCACCAGTGATAACACTCGAAGGTTCCATGTCACGTGTGTATGTTTCACGACGGTCATCGACGGATCAGATTATCAGTGGCTGCTGGTCCGTTGGGTGCTGTCCCTGTACAGTTCTTACTGCTCTTTCCGGGCAGAAGTTCACCCAAATAGCGAGTTTTTTTTTCCTGTATACCATGATCCTTGCCTGCGTTCAAATCACGACCACGTGACAACGTTCTTCCCAAGATTTACGTATCTCGATGCATTGATGCATTTGCCTTCAGCTACGAACACGTGCTCCGCAAATGCTTCGTTGCAAAAAACGCAGATAAATTATTCCTCCTAATTATTTTTTATCTTGCTGGATATGAATCTCGATACATCTTTTTTTTCTCTTACTAGTCTGACCGTTTCTAATTATGTAATAGATAAATATAACAACAGCGCCACTGTTTTCAAGTACATGTCCCTTTCCCGGAAGGTTTTCTGTGAAAAAGTGACGCTTTCTCTTAGTCTTAACTTAGCCGCACTACTAGAAAGGCCTGATAATTTTCCTTCATCCAAAACTAGTTGCGGTGTACAATCTATATAATCAATGTGGTTAGTGCCCCAACACAAGGACGTGAATACGACGAACGCTGTAGTAGAAGGCTCCGGAAGTTTTCACCTTCTTTTGATCTTTAACGCGAATATCGCAGAGTACAGGGGCTTGTACCATTTCGCCTCCGTAGAAATGTGATCACCATGGCCTGGATCATAGAGTCTCCTAATATACAGAAGAGGGAACTGTGGCGCTAGTGTCTATGGGAGCTGCTATGCACAGCACTTCAGCGAGCATAAGAATGATGGGTAGTACACACATTTGTCTAATTTTCGTACTTCTGGCCTACTTTTGGCTCCGTGTGGCTTGGAGCTGTTTTCTCACGAGACAAATATTAGCAAATGATCAGCGGTTGCGTTTCACCATCTTATTCGTTTAGACTTACCTTTCCAAATCGGGTCACGCGGTTCAAAATGATTGAATCTTGCTTTCAAATCAAAACCAAAACACAGCAATAGACGAAGCCGCAAGTACGATTATCCGCCCGCAAGTACGAAGACTAGGCAAATGTGTGGTCTACCCATCATTCCCATGGTCGCTGAACGAATCGCAGTCGCCAGAGTTCCCCTATAGTCAATTTTAGGAAACTCTATGGCCGGGATCGGACTGGTGACGACCGGGTCAGCAGCGCAGCACCGTAACCGTAACACCACCATTGCTAACCACTGTACAATTTTTTGTTAAATTACTCTACCAAGAAATTTTCCCACAGACTCTGTCATGTTCTCTACGTCTTTTCTATGTGAGCATCGCACGTGCACACGAGAGTTTAAAAAATGGAGCCACTAAACGCTAGTTTCCAACAAATGACTTTGTGCTAGCCGGAGCTCGTAGACCAAGCCACCACTGGTTGCCTTTACGCTGAGGGCCGTAGCGGCGGCGCACTTGTCGCGGCTTGTCCCTGATGTCTGCGGATAGCAACCTGCCTAGACCAAATGCGTAAACCAAAAATGGTGCCGGCAAGTTGACATTGTCCGCTGCAGTGGTGTTGAGGTGATGGTTGCTGCCTGTTGTGTATGTGACCATTTGTGTTTTCAGGAAGGAAATTTACGGCGTTTATCAGCGTAAGCTTGCTTTGCTAGCTTAAACACAATGTGGGTGCTTGTTCGACATGTTACGTGTCGATATGCGTCGTCGAAAGGTTCAATGCCTCAGTTTGCTGAAGTAACTACCACTTTCTTCGATTGGTAACGCGGTGCTGCCGATGTGGCGGCCCCTTGATGTCCACTACTCGAAAAGCAGCTGGTGGTCAAAGTGTGCTGCGCCGCTACGAGCGACTGTCTCTGAGAGCTGCTACAAGCGCAAAATATTCAGTGCTGTTATGAATGCTGTGACAACCGGAAACAATTAAGAGACAGAACCTGTCTGCATCGTACAATGTGTTTGTAGCACTTGATACAATTGGGCATGCAGGATCATTCTTGACGCGTCCTGCACGTGATGTTTCCGCTCATGGGGAAGCTTTGCAGCTGTTCGTTTTGGAGTACGCGAACTCGCAATCGGGACGGTTTCCAACTCATCTGAATCTAAATTATACAATGCTTCACTCACCTCTGCAAACCTACTCCAGCGGTCCTTCTTGGCGAGCGCACGCCAGATGTCGGGAGTCATGTACCAAGCGCAGTAAAAAAGAAGACACTCTCCACCAGGCTTCAGCAACTTTTGCATGTTCCTCCACGCCGCTGCCTGGTCCTTCACTCGGTTCAAGCTGTTGAAGACGTAGAGTCGGTCGAAAGGTCCGTATTTCTCGAGAAGCTGGGACACGTCTCCAGTTATGTCCAACTGTTCGTAGGCCAGTTTCGGATGAGCGTTGTGCTCTCGAGCGAAAGAGACCATGTTGGAACATATGTCGACTCCAACGATCCGGTCCACGCTATCTGGGCTGTTGGGTAATAATATCTTCTTCGTGGCAGTTCCGCAAGCGCAGCCGACATCCAGAAACTGGAATGGCTCGGGCGTTCGCTTTCCTATCGACTCCAGAAGGTTGTTCTGGTGGCACTTCAAAGGTCATGTTATAAACGGTTAAGCACCCTTTTTAATAACGGGAAAGTGTGTTCTGCGACATCCGAATATAACTTTGCATCGTAATCATGCTGTTGCATTGTAATGTTGCTGTGTAGCATTGCTAGATCTCCAGTACTTCTGTGGTTGTCCAACCTTGAAATAATGAAGAAAAAAAACAGACATATTACACGTTTACAAGTTTGCCTAAAGAGATACCATGAAAAAGCATAAATATGGCATTCGATGGATGTATCGACGAGCTATGTTAACACTACTGAATTTTTTATTGTCTTGAAAGGCTTATGTCATAACTTAGCTTAAAAACCATTGATTAAACCAAGGCACGATGCTTTGGCTGCCTATGTGATGTTGCACTTTAAATTATTTCAGGGTGTCCAAGAATCTTTCTGGTGCACCCATATTTATGCACTGGAAGAACTGTTTGCGTACGCTTATGACCGGGGGAAAACTTGCCCATAAAATTTTCCGGCATATAATACGCGAGAGTGTACAAGGCAGGTAGTGGATAGGGGATGCTCGGATAAAAGCTAAATAAAACTCGTGAGAAATGCCTCGCTGAATCAATATAAGGCCGTGAGCAGTATCTTTATTTTAAGGATATGTTTGCCCTATTAAGCCAGTTCTCCATAAGCGTCTTCACTGATAGCAGCCAAAATTGCCTATCTGAATGTAAACACATCAAACGCAGTCAGTTCTTGTGGAGCCTTCAGGTAATGCCCTAGTTCATATTGTGTTTGCCTGGTTCCTTATATCAGAAACGCACGTGTAATGAGCATGGGTTCTACTTATATCTTATTTTGTAGTCAAGCTGACATGCCCCATTGTTAATTGGCACAAGCATTTTTCTAATCAATATATTTGAAGGCGAGGCGAGGGGGGGGGGCACAATGGACGACATAATTACGACAGACACTGTGGTGAAAGGCTCTGTACAATTTTCTACCTGGTGTTTCGTAACGTTTACTTGAAGGACCACTCAACCGGATCCGACATTTTTTTTACACCCCCTAAACAAGCTTCTACATCTTTCCTACGCCTGACTAAGCTCCTTCCACGCTTAGTGACGTCAAATCGGTGATCGGTGACGCGACGCAGCACGAAGCTCGTCGATTAGTCTAAACCAGGTCTCAAGAAGCCGTAAAGAAGTCAACGTAACCGATCACTGAGTTGATCTGCAGGTCGTGGGTTCGTATCTCGGCTGCGACAGCTGCATTTCCGATGAAGGCGGAAATGTTGTAGGCCCGTGTGCTAAGATTTGGTTGCACGTTAAAGAACCCCAGATGGTTCGAAATTTCCGGAGCCCTCCACTACAGCGTCTCTCATAATCATATGGTGGTTTTGGGACGTTAAACCCCACTGATTCAATCAATCCATCAATCCGGTCACTGATTTGACGTCACTGCACGTGGAAGGAGGTTGGTCAGGATTAGGAAAGATGCGCGAGCTTCTTTGGGGTGTGTAAAAAAATTCGGAGCCTGTTGAGTGGTTCTTTAAATGGAGCGGATGCACCTCTTTCATTTAGCTTCTAACGAAATGCGTTCGCTAAGAACGGGATTCTTTCCCCCCAACCAAGATGTAAGCAGTCGATCCCAACAAGGTCTAGACCATCCTTCACTGGGTATTTCTCTCTCAGAACGTCAGGACTTGCATGGGGTGCACTTTTCCCGCGCAACGTTTGAATTCGTCTGAAATATTCCAGAAAAACGCTTTGAGATCAACGGATGCTCTATGCTGTTACAGTGTTTTCGTTTGAATAATATTTCAGTAGGCGTTTAGAGAAAAAGTGTAGAACAACTATCTCACCTGACTACGCCAGTGCTTGCGACAAGGCCAAATGCAGGGTGATGTGTGCCAGAATGTTGCTGCGTTAAAACTGGCTTAGGGCCATCCGGGTTTACTCATTTATCGCCTGTCCAGCTGAACACTGCCGACTATGCAGCCGTAACTGTGCTCAAAATTCATGTGGATACTTGATTGACATCGAGTATTCACCGGATGAGTGAAGAGCGTAAAAAGACGAGTGTGCTAGAAAAAAAAAAAAAGAGAAACGGGCTGAAAGTTTGAACTATACTTCAGTGAAAGCAACATATGGAACGGATGTTCGAGGCTTAGCGGTTGGCAGTTACAAAGGACGACAACACCGTTGAAAATTCAGTTATTACGATAATGCATGCTAGAGTGGACATCCTGTCCATTCTGGACGGCGAATCATAGTAGACAGAATTATTCGTGACTAGAACAAGGGCAGATCGGACAGGAATACACCTAATAACAAATACAGCTACATCTACGAATGCATGCGTCTGACTTTGACGAATACCTTCCGTTCGAGACTGTGTGATAACGCGGGGTAATTTTTTAATAAAAAATAAATAAAATGTCGATTTCTTTAGCGACGCTGCGGAATCAAGAGGAAAAGCACATCCGTTCTCTCACGCCATACTGCTTGAAATATTTCGACGTTCACAGTACACTGCGCTAGGGGTTAGAAGCTTGGCATCAAAAGGTGACAGTGACAATTTAATTAAGTAGCTTGAAAGCAACGAAGATTGGCTAAAGTTCCAATGAGAAATAATTTATCCGTCAATCATCTTGACGGTAAAATCATTTATTATCTGTCAGATGGTAGTATTCACAATGTACATAGTCGGCAGGGATTCGTCTAATGGTTGGTTCTTTTTATTAGATGAGGGTAATATTTTGCATTTATTTGCTAATGTTCGTCACTTTTCCTTTTTTTTTCTTTTCTTTCGGCCTGTGCAAATATATATATTGCGCGCTGTAGACAAAAAAAAACTTTTTTGAGAGTAAGCGCTCTTGTTTGTGTCCCCCTTTTTTCTAATGCTCATTTTTTCACACTCTTTCGTTTCCCAATGAGGAAAATGTAGATGGCTTTGCACAGCTTCCAATTTGACAGTTTCTCAGACTCTGAGTGTTTTGCTAGGCTTACAACTAATTTTTGCAAAAGACAAAAAGTGGAGCACGCAGTGTAACCGCTTTATGACTTATTTAGGTATTTACTTGACTTGTGGCCTTCTCGTCGAAATAGTGCTAAGCATCGTTGGTCAAACAGAGTCGTATGCTTCAGCTCCGTTGATATTATGCAATCATGGGCTTGCTATCTATAGTTTCAGACGCTTGCCTTTGAACCAGCGGGACGCGTGCTGAAAGCCAAACCCCCCAAAATATTGCGGTAGCAATTATATGGAGAGTCTCGGCTAGTTTTGCAGTCACCGCCGCCACCCTCATTCACACACACACACACACACACACACACACACACACACACACACACACACACACACACACACACACACACACTTATATATATATATACCTTTATATATATATATATATATATATATATATATATATATATATATATATATATAATATATATATATATATATATATATATATATATATATATATATATATATATATATATATATATATATTGAAATACAACTGTGCAGCTGACGCTTCATTCAAGCAACAGCAAGATGGCGCCGATGATGAAGAGGAACGGGGCGAAGACTGATGATGGTTATTGATAGATGAGGAAGATGACGTACAATGAATTCTCACACTAATTTCCCCCGTCGACGGAAGCGGCCAGCCTGGCCGCGAATTACGCTGTGGAACGCATACAATAGGGCTTGAGACGCGAAACGTGCACAATCTCTGTCCCGTGGCAGCGTTGGTCAGTGGGGACATGAACAGGTGTGACACGGTAGTTCACCGGTGAGGTCTGTTCGATAACTTTGTAAGGGCCAAGATAGCGTGACTCAAACTTTTCGCATAAGCCAGGCGTTCGCGCAGGAGTCCACAGAAGTACATTGTCGCCAGGGCGGTAGAGAACGACGCGGTGAGTGGCATCGTAACGATGTTTGCGATCTTCTTGGCTAGCTTCGGTGTTTACACGGGCAAGACGACGGCATCGAGCAACGCGGAAAAAAAACTGGTCGCAAACGAATGATGAAGAGTTAACGGGGCCAGAAAAGAATGAAACGTCGAGTGGTGATGTCGGTTGGCGTCCGTATACTAGGAAAAATGGAGAATAGCCTGTGGTTGGTTGAACTAACGTATTATATTGTTACGTCTACGAGGGGTTTATTCGAAGCAGACGTAACGGTCGACTCGACGGTATACCGCAGTGAACGGGCAGCAGCGAGTTTTTGCCACCAACTGAACGTCCTCCTCTTCTGCTACCACCATGTTCCCCGCTACACAGGTGCACATACCTAAATTACACATGTGGTAACACTTCCCTCCGCGCAGACGAGGCCCACTGGGCGAGTCAAACAGTCTCTCGAGGAATAAAGCACTTCAAGCGTGCGACATGGACAAGTTCAGTTTTTGCAGACCGTCGGCCGTTTGAATGGAGACGCGCTATGCGGTAAACTAAATCACTGATACGGTCTACAACAAGATAAGGTCCCGCATAGTGCGCTAGCAGTTTCTCGCTCAAACCGCGTTTTCTAGTTGGTGTCCAGAGCAACACTAGGTCACCGCGATTGTACGTCACGTGTCGGCGTCGGCGGTCAAAATGTGCCTTCGAGCGGTCTTGCGAAGCAAGAGTGCGCAAATAAGCAAGGCGTCTAGCTTCTTCGGCACGACAGATGATCTCGGATATGCAGGGATCATGGTGGTCCGAACACGGGAAAATGGTATTCAGGGTATGACGAGTTGGTCGAGCATATAGAAGAAAGAAAGGACTGTAGCCGGTATTTCTATGCTGAACGGTGTTAAATGCATATGTGATAAAGGGTAGAATACTGTCCCAGTCCTTCTGATTTGATGCAACATACATAGACAGCATGTTCGAGAGAGTTCTGTTCGTTCGTTCAGTTAGACCGTTCGTTTGGGGATGATATGGCGTAGAGTGCCGAAACCTTGAAGCACAGACACGAAGCATCTCTTCCATCACGTCTGCTGTGAATTGTCGGCCACGGTCACTGATTACAATTTCGGGAGGTCCATGTCGAAGAATTACAAAACGTAGCATGAAGGAAGACACATCGGCTGCAGTTGCCGATGGTATGGCAGCTGTCTCGCAGTACCGTGTTAAATGGTCGGTGCAAACGACTATCCAGCGATTTCCATTAGAAGACCGGGGAAAGGGT